TTGGACTTGATAGATCAATGGTGATGCAAATTTCTGGAAAATGTGTATGTTTCATGAAAAGACCTATCAGTACTCAATAAGTTTACTATCATCATTTTTAATCAGTTGTTTTTCTAAATTTCTAAATTGTCACATACCGTATGGACTCACATAACCACGGAGACAGTTTGCACTCCATTGGTAAATGCTTCCGTACTATCCAGTGTGATGGTGTCTTCAGCCCCAGAAATCTGGGAGCTGCTTTAATTCATCAATAGTATTTTCTAAAGGGCATCGGTCCCAAGGGAGTTTTTGGTGGCCAGAGGCCTGTTGAATTTCACTTCAGAGAAACACTCATCTCAATAAATGCTTTTTCTAAAAAGCAACGAATTCATTTGTGGAAGAAACTGTTATTCCACCTACGAACTCATTATAGAGGAGAAGCATAAGCCAATCAGCAGCTTCAGGCACCACTGCAGACTTTCCCTCTTGCCCTGTATTTGCAATATCTCAAAATCTGAAGTGCTGGGAACGCCAGGGTCACCGAGGCAGGCTGTTTGGGGCTGTGACCCTTGGGGTAGACAGCCCCTTGTGGGAATGGGACAAAGGGGGCCTCCAAGGTCGTGGAGAATAAGAGGCCCTCATCCTCCACGTCCCAGGCCACATTGACTGCGAGACAGAAGCTGGGAGACAAACCTGTCGTTCATTCAGCAGAACACAATGCGGGGGGTCCTTTGGTGCTGGCTCTGGCAGGTGTATCTCACCATTAAGGTAGCGTCAGTTTCCCTTTTGTTGGTTTGGGCCAAAGATCTTACATTTCCATTCTCTTCCCAACTGAGGTCCACTTTGCTTGCTTCTGTGGGCCTCATATTCAGAAAAGTGTCTGACTCGTAAGAGCTGGGCAGCCTGTGTTTGTTGAATGAATACCACATGAGAAGGGGAACTGCACTCTGCGTGCTCTCTGTGTGCTCTCCGGGACGCCTAAGCCCAAAGATTCTACTGTCACGTTTCAGGTAGGATGCTCTGCAGCCTGAGACAACACTGAATTTAGATGTGCAGTGAACAGAGATGCCAGGCACCCCCACCTCAGTCTCAGCTAGCAGAATCGCACTTACTTTTTTCTCCTCGAATCAGAGCTCTCATACAGACATGGGTCAATAACTTGGGAAGTAGTTCAGACTTCCCCTGACCCCCACCTACTTCCTACTCTATCTAATTTGTTGTCATGCACTCTACACTTGAACCCTCCAGTATCCCACAGTCTTCCTCACCTTTTTTTAACTGGCTTACAGCCCTAATTTATGCTCTCTTCACTCCTCACTGACCTGAATTGTATTATCTTATGTTGGGCTCTCTCACACCTCCATCACACTGCTCTGAAAATTTTCACATGCTGGAGTTAAACCATAGACTTTCCTGTTACAGCAAGGTTCTAAGAGATAAATGCACACACAGACACTAAACACACACACACTGTACGCAGGAGTACACACTGGTCTAGGTGTCCAGGTAGTAGCCCACAAAAGACAGACAGTAGGATGAATGCTTACTGCATTTCCAGAGCTCTCTGGGTTTATTTCCTCCTCATCATTACATCGCAGGCCAACACCGGACACTACTATTCGAGTGGAAGGGAAGCTGCCTTCATTCAGCTGAGTGGGAAAGGAGAGGGAGGAATTTCCCTGACTCCTGGGCACCACATCCATCTGGGACTGAGGCCGGGGGAATAGTTCATGTGGGAGGAGAGTGCTGAGCCCCTCAGCGTCCCCACCCTCAGCCCAGGAGGCTCTTCATGTTCCCTGGGCCGCCTCGGGGACAGCAGTTTGGAGCAGACATGGAATGAGACCGCTCCTCCTGCCTGGCTTAGGGCTTCGCATGGAAGATGGCTGGGCCCCTCCTGGATCCTGCTGGGTTTGACTACATCAGTTTCATTCTTCTCATCTTCTCTCATTGTTCTGGGTCCCTACGCACTGCTCACATTCACCCGCTTGCTATGCCTTGAATATCACACTCCTGTCTTCCCGATTCCCCTCTCTGGCCAAGTCATAGTTGTTCAATAGAAACCAAAACAAGAATCAGTGACATCAAATGAGAAGCAGCTTTCTGCAAGTCCTCAGGACATGGCTGTAATTGTAACTGTTAGCTACAGAACTTAACATAATGAGATGGGAGTTTTAATTTTCAACTTTCAAGAGAGGAGACAACACAATCATCGTCCCTATGGTCAAGATGCTTATATCACCAAAAAGCAGGCCCAGGAATTTAACAATACAAATAATACAAATAATATAGTCACTTGCTAGGCTCTAGACTGCCTCTTACAACCAGGCAGATGTGTCTGTGCAGCCCTCAGCCATGGGCATTCGTATTCTCTACTACCCCCCCAAGTCTGCATGAATCTTGTGAATACAATGAAATACTCATTCTAGTGACTCTGGTTACATGACAAAGGGAACGAGAATCTGCATGTGTAATTAAGTTCCTATGAACTGACTTCAAATTAATTAAAAGGAGACTAACTGAAGTGACCCTAGTCTAACCAGGTGAGCACTTGAAAAAGGATTTAGATTTTGGAAGCTCAAGGCATCAGGGAACCAGGCTACTGGCTTTGGTGAGTCCAGTCCAGTCATGTATGGTAAAGGCCAGCATCTGTCAGGGAGACCAGGTGGTCTTGGACAGCTGAAGGCCTCTGCATACAACCACAGAACCACAGCACACAACTGCACCAGCAGCAAGGGGACTGAGATCACACCACAAGGTGGGCAGGAGGCCAGGCAGGTACCTGAGTGACCTCAGGAGACACCACACAGAGCCTCTGGAGTCAAGCCTGACCTCCCCGCCCACAGAAAGCAGAAAGCAGACAAGGGGTGCCAGTTTAAGCCCCTCATTCTGGGACCTTGTTTGCCATAATAGAAAACAAATACACTACCAGGGGATTTAGCTCAGTGGTGCTGCTGACTGCCCTTCAATTTGCAAGTACGAGGTCCTGAGTTCAATCCCCAGTACCAAAAAAAAGAAAAGAAAAGAAAGAAAACTAATGCACAAATGAGACTACCACTAAATTCCTTGTGTTTTGCACCACACACTTTACTGCATTTGTAAGCCAAAATAATTTGAAAGAATATTTATAAAACATTTTTATGCTTTCCAGAATTTCATTTTTATTTCATTCATTTTAATAAAAGTGTAATCTCTCTATAGCTCTTTATATTCATATAATCTTTAAACTAAAAGCTTTCCTCTAATGAAATATTTCTAAGATATTCTCAAAGCTCGGAAGATTATTTTAATGTAAAAGAGACAGACACAAATTCTGTCTCACAAACTCTACCATTTTTTCTGAGAATTCCCATGCTCACATCCCCTCTGTTTACCAGAAATGTCAGAATTATTGCATGTAGTCTACATAATCTGCTAGTTCCTCTTGACCAAAAAGAAAAAGAGAGGAAACCCATGGAATTGAGAGTATCATATTCACTTATTCTCTTTTCTCCCCAATCTCATTTTTTTCCTTATGGTACCAGGGATCGAAGTCGGGCATTGTGCTCAAAAAGCAGGCAGTGGGACCACAGAGCCAAACCCCCAGCCCTCCCCCAGTCTCTTTTTAAACATGTGAAAAATTGACTTAGAGACAAAATAAAGGGCAACACTTGGATGACAGTGTGTGCTCACAAGTGTATACAGCATGTGTGTGTGTGTGTGTGTGTGTGTGTGAATGTTTACACTGTCCTATTCCAGGCAAGATTCGTAACAGTATCCTAAACACAAAAATGGCCAGAAATCAGAACATTTTATTAAACTTATCTGACCAAGACAGCTCGGAAGGTCATCATTCCTCAACAAGCCAGTAAGTAGAATGAACTGTCACTGGACTCATCCTTTATTTCAAAGGAAAAGATGATTCAGTTTTCTGGGAACACTGTGTTTCCCTCTAAGAGGCTCCCAGATTCATACAGGCTGTGCTAGTCCCTTCTGTGGCTTTAGGAGCAGCCTGAACCATCCGCCTTCTCCACTGGGCCTGGGAAGAGAGGGTAACCAGGCAGCAGTGAACAGGCCAGCTGGGTTCATTCTGGGAAGGCCGCAGCAGGCTGTCAGGGGAACGTGCTGTCCCCTGATGCAGATGTGCCTCTCCCAGATCCTTCAGGATCACTTGTCTTTGTGTATTGCTCTATATGCATACGTGTACATCAGCAAGCCAAATTATAATATTACCACACCTGACTAAACAGGTGCAATTCTATTCATCTTAAAGCATCTTAGGTTTCCATTGAAAAATAAGACATCTATTCATAAAAAATTCCATATCTCATTAGTATCCAGTATAATTTCAAAGAAGAGCAAAATCGTGGGATTTAGCCATGGAAGAGAATACCACATGCACACACTTAAAGGATATGGCACATAAGAAAACAAGTTTTATAACTTTAATTCAGGCAAAATGGCCAGGCGCCATGTCCAGAGAGGATGCTAGGAACTTCTGGGATACACGGGAAAGCAGAGCCCCAGCTGTGCAGGGAATCCCCAGGGGTGGAGCGCAAAGACATCTGGGAGAAGCTTCTGTCAGACTTACTTAGTTTTCTTCACTGTGGACTCTGCTGTTCACCCATAGCACTTCCCAGTCAGTCTGTGTCCCGAGAGAAATGGCAGGGAAAGACCCAGAAGGCAAGGTAAGAGTCTCAGGTCCCACCTCTCTCTGCCCCCTGACACTGAGGTACACACATTCCCTCATCTTTTTTTCCCTCTGATTTTTTTCATTTTCTAGATAACATCACCGTGTTTGTCTTTTCACCATAGATAAAATTTATACATACGCCGACACTAACGTGTATATCCTTTTCAAACAAAGCCTCTCTGAAAATTCAAAAGATCAGGAAGGATTATGCAACACATTCTTAAAATATGAAAACTCACACACATTAAAGCATCAGGTAAAATACTTGTTAACCTGGCTCCCTAATCATCGTCCGCCTAGATCCAGGCTGTGAAAGGAAGAGGAAGCAATAAATTTGACCCTGACTTACCACACATTTTAATTGCGCAGTACTCCCAAGGGGTGTCAGGGTCAAGAGTATAGCACCAAGGCCTCGGCTTGCCATCGGGGTTGCGGCAGTAATTGTCATCAAAGCCTCTGTCAGGGTATCTGCAGACCACACCAAGAAAAGTGTCACGTAAATCTGCCTGGAGCACCACCTTGGCCTCTGCTGGAGAAAATAACTTTCTATGTAGCTCACAGAAAGGGCAGATTTCCTGTCTTTTAATTATCAGGGGCTGTGAGTCTCTAGCTAGAGTCTTCTCATTTGCAAAACCCACTGAGCTCAGCGTACCATCCTCTGCGCTCATAAGTGGGCTCCACTGGGTACCTGTTCCAGTTAGGGCTCCAGGTGAAGCCCTTTCTCACAGGGCCTGACTGAGGGCAGATTCCAAAAACATGACCCCGTGTAGAATGCTCATTAAGAAAACAGGTCCTCTTCTGGGCAGGCTTAGAGTTCAAACTGAAAGTTTGGTTTCAATAGCTCTGTTACTAATGATGGCTCAATTTTGGAAATAGAGCCCTTCTAGGTCGTGCCCTCCCCTCCACCAGAGCGAGAGAAAAACCACCACACCACTTTCCCTGCGTCCCACCTCCCAGCTTCAATTAAGAGAGTTCGGAATGGCTGAGTTGGTTTTAATTGCTACCATATCCCTCCTGCTCTCACTTAAAAGAAAAGACATGCACTTCAAAAATAAATCAGGGTCTCAATTTCAGTTAAAAGAACAATGATACGCAAAAATGAACAAACAACGATAGAGAAAAAGAAGAAAGAAAAAAAAAACACACTTAAGCAATTTCCAAAGGAAGGCATGAACGGATTTTCCTTTAAAATTATTTGTATATTTTTTCTTTGTAATAGAAATAAAGGAGTTTCTTTTCCCCTCTTTTGCAACGTAAGCTTTTCAGGTGAAATAAATGAAGGGAGGAAAACATCATCCCTTTCTTTAAGTAAAAGCTCAAAGTATTCTCCCACGAAAAAGGTAGGCTTAGTTCTCTGATTTCCTGTTTGGCAATTTCAAAACACTGAAGGATGAAGCAGTCAAAAAGCTGTTCCTGCCGCCCTCCTCCCGTTTCCATTAACGCGGCCCACGTCCAGGTATTCTGTGACGGAAGCGCTGAGACTCTGGTATGCTGATCCAGAGGGAGATCTGCTTGCATGGCAATAACTCCTCTCAGGGGTCAGGTTAGGGAACTGTTCGGTCCTGACTTCTCTCATCCCTCTGTTAACTTTTATCTTGTTACTCACAGAAAGCAGATGCTTCTGTTGTCCTATGGTGCATTCTCCTGAAGGGCTTGTGCTCGTCTTCTGGATGTTGGGGCCTCTAACCCAGTTAGCCAAGAGTCACTGAAGGTGTACCTGGTGGTCCCCCCGTACCTCAGCACAAACTCCTTTTCCCCAAGTCCACCCTCTGCAGACATCAGGGCTTCAGCAACTGTTTCAGAAGAAGCCTGGACATTCAGAGGAGTTTGACAAAGTGTGTTTGTCCACTCTCAGGAGAAGACTAAAGGAGCTCCCACGGCAGTTTTCTTGGAGCAAGTTACAATGTGTAAAGAGAATTGTGGGAGGTAAGATTCAGCGGGTTTTTACCTTTCTGGCAAGAATTTGTGCCGGTGAGGAGTCTGATGGTCCCAGCGCTGGCAAATTTTGCCTGATTCTGTGTGATCCATGGGCCCTCGGTAGCTTTCCCCGTTGCAGGCCATGCACTCCACTGGGAAGATTAAAGCAGGGCGGGTTACTGGTTTATGACAACAAAATCAAGAGCAGCACCATTCATTCCATTAAAAGAACAGCAAATCAACTGTTTAGCAAGCAGATTTTCTAAACACCCTATATTCATGAAGAGTGGCACAAAATACATCCTAAAGAATGAGTCATCCAGTTGGTAACTGGTGTCATACAAATTTGCCATAAGCCTATGGTTCTGCACCTCTAACTGTTCGATCGAGCTTGGAGACTTTCCCTCAGTGGTCTAACACGCAGAATCAGTGTCCATCATGAGCTTCCCTTTCCACTCGCACTGTAACCACATACTCAGTGAGTGCGCACTTTACACTGAGCGCATGTCAGACCTCTATAATTACTGCAATAATCAGGACCAAAATATTTGAAAGACCAGCTTTAGGTAGAAATCTGAAGAACATACTTATTTTTTTAAAAAAGAAATCACAGCTCCCCTCTGGAGGTGAACACCCATGCTGAGGAGGCTAGGCGAGCAGACATTCTTTTCTAGCTTAGGCTAGAAGATGACCTAGCATTGAACTCCTTTGCCCACTCTGTTGAAATGTATAAGCTGACCTAATTATTCAGGATCTCACAGATGATTTGGTGAGATTAATTAATTGTTCCTTTCTGGCCGGTTTCTTATGTCACACTGAAAACTCTGACTCGCATCAACTAGCTGACAATGAGACTTCTCAAACAGAAGGTTGATTTGTAGCACCGCAAGCATCCTGTGAAATAAATCATCACTTGCCTCTTCTACAAGTCCGGCAAATTTCCCCAAACACATCATTTGTATCTTGTGATTACCGATTGATCATCTAACCCTACTCAGGCGGGGAAAGATATGAATACTTAGTTCTTAGCCACTGAAACCTGGCCTAATGAATATTGGTAGACACTCGGTACACAGTAGAACTGGTACTTTTTGAAACTCCGATTTGTATACTGTAACAGGACACTAACTATTAACTTTCTGAAACATAAGAGCCACCCACTGTGTTTATCCTTCTACTTCCTTTTGTGTAGGCTAACTCAAGAACCGAGACAAAAGGCCGGTTCAGCTTCCCTCATTGGAGACTCACTGAGAGTCTCCTGAACAATAAGCACCTGGCCTGTAAGAAGAGGGGCTGAGAGCAAAGTGGCAAAGGTGCCCCGGCTGGCAGAGGTCATTTCCACACTGAAACACACTGAAACACTCCACACAGGCTACACACCATCACATTTCAGTTTTCCCTTTGAATGGGGTACGGATTTACTCGGTTCTCTTTTTAAAAGCATGCAAGACTTGATATCTTTGATAAAAATGATGTGGCCTTTATCATTGTTGTTTGTCCCTTCGTATTGAATGAAAAAGAATGCATTGCTATGGTCGCACACCAACAAGGCGTCCAAATGTGACTTCTACTCTTGACTCATACTCAGAAATCAGAATACACCTGTTAGATGACCTTGAGTAAGTGCAGTTTGCTGTAGCATTTCCACTTCTGGTGAGAGTGGGCAGAATTATCTTCTGGAAAGCAATATTATGTATATTACTGTAAAACACTTTTGGACATATAAGTTGTTATTAGTTGTAAGGAAAAAGAGCTGTACAAATTAAATAGAGGATTCTGTAAGACGATTTCCTTCCAGAATGAGCATGGTAAGTAAACGTTTCTGCAAACAATTAATGTCCATAGACACCACCTCCAGATCTGGTTAAAGAATTAATTCTGAGTCAGTGGCCCTGGCCTGAGAATTAGGAGAAAGCTCATAGGGGAAGCTAATTTTCTGACACTTGCATCTTACTTTTGAGTAGCAAGTTTGTAGATGTAATGATGCATTCTAACGTTCTAAGAGTTTAGTGACAGTGGTATTTCAGGAAAGACTAGATTTTACTTGTACCTTGGGGAATAGATGAGAATTGGATAAGATATGTAAGGGAAAGCACACAATAAAATGATAAGACAACATGAATTAGGGTGCTACATTCGTAGGAACGTGAAAAAAGGTATGGCTGTGGATGTAGCCTAATGACACACAAAAATACAAATCAGTAAGAAAAAATTTAGAAAGCAGTAAAAGTTGGTTTTGCAGTGGATAATAAATATATTGTGATCAAATTGAAATGCTAAAATTTGGTAGCTGAAAAAATAAAAATTTAATAGCTGTAGCTTTGTTATTTATTCTATAATTTTAACATAAGATACTGTTTTGTTGATACCACGAAGAAAACATGGCTCATACACACTTTAAAAGACTTACCTAAAACAGAAAATGTCAAAAAGTAAAGTCTTCTGACCCTCTAGAATCCCTTCCTTTAGCCCAAATTGACTTATTTCCTACATGCTTGTTACAAATTCTAACTGGTTGTACTTGAAGACTGATAGCAATAATTTCACAGAGTACTTACTATTAATATCCTGACTTTTTGAATTGCTCCCATTCCCCTCTGCCTTCTTTACAAAAATAGGCATCCCACCTTGAAGGAGCGGAAGAGGAGGAAATGGCAAAGCAACTGTGCTCTCCTCATCTGTGAAGTAAATGTCTGACAATTTTGTTTTGCCATTTAATCAAATTCTCAGGTTAGTCATAGAGATTGCTTCTAGAAGAAAAAATTCTGAAGTCATTTTTCAAACTTCTGGAACTCAAAGAATCTTCTAAAATTCCCCAGCTCAGAGGAAAGTAGGTTAGGTGGAAAACAATCCCGCCAAACAGGAAGTTAGGGCAAGTTGCACTGAGTACCAGAGACTGGGGTGGTGGGGCTGAGGGAGGGCAGCCCTGCTCTGACTTGGCGGTGCATTGGTGACCATTCCAGCGACTCTCTAATAAACCAGAGCATAAGCAAATCTGGTAATCAATTACTGAATCTATTTTGAATCAGTGTGAACTTTAGTCTAGTAAAAATAAATGCTCAGAAAAATCCATATATGGGAATTATCTCCGCAAAACTGAAAATATAAATAGGCTCACAAATCCATACTTACAAAAAATAGTTTTGCATAAGACTTTGTTTTTAAAAGTCTTTCTCCGCGTACAATTGGGGGTCATACCCATAAAGTTATGATAGTACTGCTTGGGACTTTAAGGGAAAGGTGTTTTAAAATGATGATTTTGCCTTAATGAAAATATTTTTACTTAAATATTTGACAATTTTGAAAATGACATCTGTTTCAATGATTAAGCATTATTTTAAATATTGAGCAGGTAAAAAAGAAATTGGATTTTACATACCCAGCTTTTTAATTAAGAATCAATTGGTAGTATTTTCTTTACATAATTACATAAGTTTCGTCTTTTCCTAGGTAAAGATCTAAGGCATTTATACATTATAGATTGACTAAATTAAGCTAATCAATATGTTTTAGCTCATAATTTTTGCACTTAGAACATTTAATATCTGATCTCTTGGCATTTTCTAGGAATACAATATACTGTTAAAACCTTAGGCCCTGTATTGTTCAATAAAAATCTTCAAATTGTTACTTCTATCTAACTCAAAGGTTTCACATGGTATTAAAAAGTATTGATTTACTTTTGAAATATTTTTGCAAAGTTTTAAATTAAAATAAAATAATATTATTTGTTATCACATACAACTACTGAACCAAAATTTTAGGTAAATTAAGACAATCATTCAGCCAAGTGTTTAATATAAACACAAAAACTTCTAAGCATCATCTGTATATATACATATATATATATATATATATAGTCTCCCATGTCTTTTATAAAAGATATTTTTCTTGTTTAATTTTAAACATACAAAATTTTTGATAATTACTGACTCATCCTAATTCTGTAATCCTTGAATCTTATCATTTAATAAATTAATATCTGCAAATACAAAATAGCGTATCTACCTCTACACTCTTTAAGCAGTCTAGACTTTGAGATTTCTCCCTCTCACGTGTATTTTAGTAGAGATTTACATCATGCCCATATTATTTTTTTACATTTCATATTTTTCAGTTTACAATTAGCTCTCTTTTTTCTCTATTAATACACCGACCATGGTAATTTTGGATCCTCTTCAATACAATCCTGCTAAAACCTCATTCACTCCAGTCTGAAACTAAAACACCATAGCTGCAGTCCCATCCTTGAAGGACCTCAGCCTTCGGGGCAGGCTTTGCTTCATGTCTCCTGAATGAGGCTTCCAGGCACTGTCAGACCTCTGATTGCTTCCAGAGAGAGCTGAGCCACCACCTTTGGTACCAAGACCAAGAACACCAAAAGCATTAAAAATAATGAGCAGTGGCCTTTTCCAAGGGAGGCTTGATGGCCCCAAATTATTAAGGAATATCAAGAACTACATGCTCACAAGGGTAACTACATAGAAAAGTTTTAAAATTACTTCCATTTTCATACTTTTATTATCCATTACCCATTGGTCTAGATCTATGACAGTGTATTTTAATAAGCATTCTTCATATAAATCGGGGGTTGGAATCACATTTGCACAGGGCCAGGTAGGTGATGTAAGTTCTAAACTGTACAGAGTTTGACCAAATTACCTGCCTCGGGGTACGGCTGACCAGGTCAAACAAGACCGGGAAACAAAACTCCCTAGTAGTGATTTTCAAGGTGATTTAGAAAATGGAAAGTGGAGATTTACCAAAAAATAGAGGATTTTGTTTCTTCCATGTGCAAATTTACGACAGATATTAATCACAGACTTATTCATAGAAAACAGACTTGTTCAGAATGTTATCATGGTTACGTTTATTATTTTTGAAAGAAAAGAAAACAATGAAGGAGTTGTAGGGGACAGAACATGACTCGGGATGGAAGGCAAGGATTTACAAACAGAAATGGAACTGGCTCTGCCACATTCAGACAGCGTTTTAAATTAACCAACAACAAAAGCGTATTCACCTTCTCCGACAATCGGGAAACCGTGGCCTTCACTCGCTATGTGCTAACTACTGACCTAATATTAAATGGATACTCACAGGTGATGTAACTCAAACATATTTAGTGAGTCAACAGGCAAAATATCTTCATATAGAAACGGGACAGCATGCCAGCAGCCTCTGCCCCTCTCCAATTACTTCGAAATTTTAATGAATTTCTGAAGGAATTCGATCTACATTTGGACTTGGCAAATTTTGAGAAATTTTGACAGAATTAAAAAATCCAGCTATTCCATAGCCAAATATGTGAAAAACAAACCTGCACATAACGCTGGGATACATCATCTTCCATCCCATCAGTCACCCCAGAGCACAGACAGTGCCAGGTGTGCTGAGAGGAGAGGTGAGCACACAGCACGGATTCCGTGCCTGCCTCCGAGACGGAGGGGACGCCCGCGCTCGGCTTCCGGTCTGGGTGTCACCTTTGTTTCTAATCCCGTTTCCACCAAAACACACACGGGAGTACTGAGCTTCCGGTGACCCCTGGCCCTATTCTCTTCTAGGTCACAACACATCAGAGGAGCTGTGTCCAAAGCTCTGCACAAGCGGGTGCTGGATGCACAGAACCCGCCATTCCTAATAAAGGGCCAACTGCATTCAGCGCTTTCCATGAGGTCCATGGGAGCAGCCCTCCAGGTATGGGAGTTTAAAACAGTAGTGACAGCAGGGGTCTGAGGCTGACCTTGAGATTCAAATTGCGTCAATCTGCTGCTCAGCTGATAGTTTGTAAAACATCAGTACAAATGCTCAAATAATTCTCCGTGGTTATGTTTGGGGGGACAACATGTTTATTGGGATTGGCTGGTGTCTGTGCACCTGCAGGGCGACACGGCTCTACATACGGGGCACCAGGGCGCCCCTCGCAGTCGGGTTCATTTACCTTCTGAACACTGAGGAATGTCACAGACTTCATGGCGTACCTCGGGATTGCTGGTGAAACACCAGGGTCCCCCTTCTTCCCCGCGAGGGTTTCGACAGTAGTTTTCCTGCAGGTCCTTACCCCGATAGCTCGAAGGCAAAAAGCTAGTTTTAAAATGATAATCATTACAGTATAAGAGCATGCAACTTTAAGTCTGTCCTATTCAATTTACTAACTAGAGGGTTGAGTTTTCCTAAAAGTTAAGAAAAAAGCCACCCCTTAAGTCATTCTCTTAAACAGTCACACATTTTAACTTAAATTCTGTCATTTCCATGCATTCTTAGAATATCTGCATTTCTTTGAAAGTCCACCTAGCTGAACTTTCACCTTCAGCATCACATTAGGAAACTTAGCCACTAGGTTGTCTAAGACCCGTGTGTTCTGGAAAGTCACTGGTGTGTGAGGCACACAATCCCAGGCTCCACTCAAGGGTCCCAAGGAGAGAGCTGAGAAATCTCTGCACTGAGAGCTCAACACCACACTGCTTGGCCAAGGGCATTGGCTGTCTGTTTACTGCTTTTCTTCTAAAGAATAGCCTCCCTTTTGTCCCTGCCCAATTGAGAACAGATTGATGAAATAATGAGAACCAAGGAGCCGAAGTCAAATTCAGCCTAGACTTCAATTTCAGCTCTTCCCAGCCCAGACAGCTGCAGACACTTAGGCCTCTGTCTGCCTGGGAGCTTACCTGTACAGGGAGGACACTCATGACTTCGAACATCTCACAGCGCAAATGGCAGCTTGGAGAAGTTCAAAGAGATGATAAAGTAATAGGCACTTAAACGCTACCTGTGATTAAGCATGCTCTACTCTATATTCCCTATTCTAACCTAATATGCATAGAATTACTTATTTCCTTCAAAAATTTTGAAAGTATTGGCTGGCTCTGCGGCTTGGGGCTCCCGGACTTAATCCAAATCCTACAGCCATTGGGTCCAATAACTCAGACTTACAACCTTGGTGTAAAACTTCTAATGCCCTAGTGGTCATTTTTTTGCGAGTGTAAGGTATTGCCACACATCTGAAAAGGCCAAAAGCTCTTGATTTCTTTTGTATTGCTTGTGATCTTGGGCTCAGTGATGCCATATTTTCCTTCTAGACTGCACACACATAATCATTTTAAAAAATAACATATAACTAGAGGTAATACCAGTCAAAAGGTTTTTGAAAAATGTAGTCACATTTCCCATATTTTGTTGTTGTGGGGTTTTTTTTGCTAAACATTTTGTTTCTACTTTTACTGACCTTAGAGTTCTACAAGTACAGAGATGAAAATCCAAGGATGTCATCTTTCAGTAAAAGTAATTCAAACATGTTCACTCTCCAGTGAAACTCCTAATTGTGAATGTACATGCTAAATAACCTAAATTAGTCATTAACTGATACACACATAAACCAAAACATCACACTAGACCTCATAGATACACACAGATCTTGTCTGTCAACCAAAAAGGAAGACAGGAAGAAGAAAAGAAGGTATCTATTTTAATTTTAATTTTTGCCACACAGAATGAATACAGGGACACCTCAGGCACTAACCAACATTCTGCAATAGAATTCCTTCACATGGACATGAGAACACTCCAGAGTCAAATCCTCAGAACACATGAATTATTGACAAAAATAGAAATGATCTGTTCTAAAAAAACTTATTAACAATGAAACCTTTTCAAAAATCTGAATGAAATACTATAAAAATTCTGTAACTCTAAGGTGTCCCTGATAATAAGGTTACATATAACCTTATTTTTAATAGCCTTTTAAATAGGGGGAAATGAAAATAAAACACTAGGTAAAAGCCTTATAAAAGCCATAATGTAACTAAAACTGGTCAAAATTTAGCAGTTTCTATGAGGAATTAATTTGCAAAACAAAGGAAGTCTTTCTTTGTCTAAATTTTAGTTCCCTCATTTCAGAATATTTTAGTGGATCTTCTGCTTGTGACATTGCCTTCAATTTATTTTCTCCCATTTTCAGCACTTCTCTAAATTTTTGCAGTAAATTTATGCAGAAATGCTTATTTTTCTCACAATCAAAACTGAATTTTGCTTTTTATCTCCATGACATTAATGCATACCCAGATGTAGCCCTGTACCATAAAAACAGTGGAGTGGCAAGACAAAGTTACTGCTAATCACAAAACATGCTGTTGCCTCACATATATCACCTAATGGATAAGTCTTTACACAATTTATTTACTGAGTTTAACTTTTTCACTTAAAAGGTGAGTGAAATGAACAAGATTATTATTAATTTCCTTTTCCTGTCATTTTCTTCTATCAAGTTTACTTGAACTAAATAATGCTTTTAGTACATGCACAATACCATAAACGTATTCAATGGCTACAGTTTTTGAGAGGATTTTTACTGAAGGGGAGGGAGGGAAGGAGGACAAGAAAGAGCCAGAGAGAGAAACACAGACACACAGACACCTTTCCAGTGGATTTGGAAGGTCAGGCAAAAGCTGTGAAGAAGCGGTCAACATATCAGTCAATAATTTGTCAGGGAAAATACAATAAGGAGGGAAGAGAAATAAAGTAAAAAATCAAGACTAGCTAATGCCCCATAGAAAAAGTTTTCCCACTGGAGTTAGTGAAACGGAGAGAAAAGATGGGCTTTTTCCACAATTTGGAATCGATTCACAGCCAACTGCTCTTCAGGAGGATGAGATTAAAGTGTGGTCTGGGTCTGGTGGGTTTGAACTTCACCCCAATTCACTGGCTTTCTTTGTGTCTCATAGCGTTCGCCCGACTCTCCAGCATCCCATCCTCGGCCCCGGGACACCTCCTGGCCGGCTCTCTTCTCACCTTGCTCAGGTGTCCATTTGATAGAAGTTTACAAGAACAGAGTGCTGGGCGAGGCAGTGGGCTCCGGGCTGGGAGTTTATATTCACACACGTACTATTTTTAGTTCTCTGTCCTTGCTGTTAGCAAGGCTTTAAGAGAGATAAGTGAAGAAATATTCTAAGCTGGGTATCATCCAAATATACTTTGCAACATAAACGAGGTCTCCTAGTTGCTAGCCTCTCTTTCTTTTAATATGAACTGCGCTCATAGGAAGCTTGATATATTCCATCATCTGCTTTATTAATGAATGCTGGATGGCTAATGAAGAGATGTAGATATCGTGTCACCTGATTTTCTGGTTAAGCTTCTACACCAATTTCATCATCTATCATCATCTTTCCATTAAGCCACTTGTAAAAGATTTCAGGTGAAGGAGTCAACAATAAACCACTCCTCCAAATGGAAACATTTCATTTTCCTTTGCCCAGAAAAGTAATCTCTAGTTAACACTTCATTTAAAAGTGTGAAGCTATCATGCCCAATATCCCACTCAGCCGCTAACTGAAGAAAACTGTTACTCTCCTTGAACACCAAAGAAGGAGTTGATTACTAATGCATGACCCTCTCAACCATAAACCTGCATGTCACCTGGAAAGGTGCTATGGTAAAATAGTGGTTGGGCTAGGGAGCCAGTTCCCAGGAAGATCTATTTCACATTCACTCACTTAGTGGACAATCACAATCATAGAGAATTTGGGTTGAAATAAGACCCTGAAGGCAGGATTGATTTCAAATGTTATGTTTGGGAAAACAAAACAAAACAAAAACAGTACTATACATGTATTCCTTTGTTTGCAAAAAAATATAGATCTATTTAAATAAAATGTCATCTTCACTATGTTCATCCTTAAGAAAAGACAAAACCAATCACAGTGTTTGCATTGTAGTAAAAGGCAGTCCTCTCACTGAATTTTCCTGCACACCTGTTAGCAACTGATTAAGGAAAAGCTGTTCTCAGGCATTGAAATCATCAGCTTGGCTGTTCAGTGGCTAGTGTCAGTGACTCTGCGATCACAGGTTGGGCCCCAGTTTGGAACTAATTTCTCTTCCCCATGTGTGGTCCAATTACTCACCTCTGCTTACTAAAGCAAAATCAGTCATGTCACAAAATATGATTATTTTTTAAAGTAGAAAATATCTCATCAAACACGGTCATAGTCCCTAGCAAAAAACAAGTCTAGACCTCTGTCCTCGGACAAGCCATGGCCTTGCGCCTTGGGGTCAGTGAAGACACAGCTGGCAGTGGCCCCCTTGCGCCTTATCTTCCAGCCACACCGCTTACTGCTCACTAGTTGTCTAGAACCCTGACAAGGGCTGAGGTTCTCCATGCTGCACTTTTACCGTTCATTTAAAATAGAACGAATAAGAGCACCCACGTGGCTGTTCTTCTGAGAATTCCACGAGATAAACAAGCAAGCGATTCCACAAGACAAGGCACTGGACACATGACAAACCAAATCTTCCAATCCATTTACTAACCAGGGGAGAACTGTTTGCAGCCATTTTAGCTGCCATTGAAAACGATTTCTGAAGTAAGCCTGCAAAACTATATGTATTTAGTTCCCTACTAGATCTAGTTCCATCTTTCTGCTTTTCCTCCATGATGATGAAAATTCTCGACCCAGGGAACCTATCATTATTACGTTACAGGCCTTAAATGGCATCCATCTGCTATGATAAAGACAGTTCTCTGCAGTGTGGTTGCTTCATCTCCTGAGGATGAGTTTGCTCTCATCTTTGGACCGCAGGTGGAGTGAGACTGTTCTGAGCCTGAGGCCTGAGCATTTCCCAGCTCTGGCCACACTCTGGAATCTTGTGGGAGCTTCAAATAACGGTGGTACCGTTTTCCACCCAAAGCTTCCGATGCAATCGATCTGCTTCCCCGGGTGATGAGGCTCCTCTGGGGCTTGCAGCAGCTGATTCCAACGTGTAACCAGCCAAGGCCGGGAAAGAAACACAGGCCCTGTACGGTCAGAGTCTGAGCTGCCTCTGATTCATTAGTCAACTGCTAGTGCTTCCTCAAAAGCAAAACGAAGAGCAATCAATCTTCTCGCTTCCAAAAGGAGGCTTTCATTATTACCTGTTCACAAACATCGAGACCTCTAAAGTGAGGCACCGAGGTAGTCACTTCACTCCTCCGTTCATCCCGGTCCTGAGCCTCACAGTGCAGCACCCTGACTAAAGCTCCGCCGGGCTGCAGGGCCCCACGAGGAGCGCTGCCTCCCCTTCTCTTCACGCTGTCCTTACCTGTGCTCGTGGGGGATCATGGAGCTCCATGGCTGGCACTTGATGCCACTCTTGGTGACGGAGACCGTGCCCTTGTAGCTGTCCCCCTTCCCGATGATGCAGTTGCGAATGTAGTCTAGGGAAGCAAGCAGAGAGAGGTGTCCTAACACGGGGAACATTCACTGAGGACAAAAGAAGAAGTGAAATTCCACTGGAGCCTGTAAGTAATTAACTGCTAAAGTATTTCAAAACAGCATTGAGGTTTCTTGCCTAAAGCTTGTCTTCGATTTGCAAAATAGCTTTGGAGTTGCCCAAAGCAAACAAACAAGCGGATGGCGAGCAGTTTTAGGTCTCTGAACGCACCACAGAAGACCAGCCGCAAGACTGTCTGTCCCGACCGGAAGGAGCCTAGGCGCATAGGGCTGGCTGGGTAGTTGTGACTTCCTAACCCTAAAGTACCTGAAAAAGGACAGATTTTTAGAATATGAATTTTTAAAAAGTACAGTTAAATTGTCTTTCTTCACATCAGTGACACTGTGTGTTTGTGTGTGTGTGTGTGTGTGTGTGTGTGTGTGTATAAATATGAAGCAATTACACTTTGTTGATTGTTATTTTCTACATTCTTGCTAACACTTGGGCTGTTAAAGAATGGTGCAGTTAGGACTACTGAATTATAAGACACTCTGTGGCTGCCAAATAAAAGCACGTGTGCCTGCTGACAAACGAAAAGACAAAAGAATGCTCACAGGCTGAATTGCAAATGTTTAGAATTTGCAGATTTATTAGGATACATAGAGGTTATATTTTTTCTACCTTGAATTTTCTTTTAATTATATTTTAGCATGGACTCTATCAACATGGAAATACATATTTGTATACAGTGTCAAATGTCCAGGTTTAACGGGATTTCAAATGGGATTTTTGAATTAGTAATATTAAAATGAATGTTATCTTCAGAAGGATAGTCCAAAATTACTATTTTAATGGTATAAATAATTTTTTAAATTTATATTTACTTGGTGGTCTATGATTATTTTATTCATATAATTCTGCTTCTCAACAGTGTGAATATCTTCTGGATACAAAACCACCATTATAGATAAGTTAGCAAATAATACAGTCCCAATTTTTTTGACAATTTTAAAGTAAACAGTTAAGCACAGATCCAATTCATTTATCCAAATTTCCATACTCATTATTATCAGCAATCATCATGGTAACAGATTAGTTATCCAAAGTTGTTAAATGTAAAATACGATTCTCAAAATTTGCCACAAGCCTAATGTGTCTTAATCTACTAATGTAAGATGCTATTAACTAACATGAAGGTGGATCTTACCAGTTCTAGGGGACACACAAAAATGGCAAAGGGGAAGGTGGATTTGGTGATAGGCAGTTCAGGAAGGGCTCTAAAAGGTCACAGGAAGAGCAGTCAGGGTTCGATTTTTATTCACCTTCATGAATGAGCTGACTGCATTAATTGATGGACACAAGAGAGAAAATCAGCAGGAAATAGCACTGTGGTGGGAGGTTCCCGATTTACATCCCACACCCTATTTCATCAGGCAATGTTTAGGGAGAAGCCAGTTACCTTTCTTTTCATAGAGGTCGAATTCGTGGCCAAACTCTTTCTTCACTCCACTCGACATGCTATTGAAAGGGAACCAGAGGCATCTTTTTCTTGCTTTATCAAACACAAAGGCCCTGAAAAAAACATCTGAATGAAAAGAAGGAATACTACTCTTTATACAGTTTTTAAAGAAGCGTCACATGGCTTACCATGGAGGACAATGGAAAATCAGAGGGATATTTTTCAGAATCTACTGTTTGATGGCCAGAAAAGAAAAAAAAAATCTAACTTTTTGTGGGTATAGATTTACATTTCACTCCGAATTGTACTGGAGAAGCTCTCACACTATTCTGAACAACTTGTAGAAAACTAAGAGCTTCAACAAGCAAAAATCAGCATGTGACACAACTATCTGGATTGTTTCCAAGGGTGTTTTATTTATTCTTTGTGTAGGTACCGAGTTAATTGGGAGATTTTCTTTGCACCTCTATATGAGTGAGTATAATTATGATGCCAGAATTAGTTTCCCAAGTTTGTAATTGTATAAAAATTACACCAACCCCCAAGGACATGCTCTAGGAAAGGGGGTCTGAAATCAAATGCTCAGAAATGTTTGCATATAGTGTCTCTCCTTGGTGCATTATAAAATACTAACATTTATTGAAGGTTAGGAAAGTCTTGCTGTAAGGATAACTTTGTTTCAATGCATGTTTCCCAAGTATGTTTGCTTGTATATATACTTTGGTTTGTTTATTTGATTAGTCGGTTTTTGAGAAAGGAATTTTCTATGTAGCCCAAGCTGGCCTGAAACCCTCTGCAACCTCCTGTTTCAGCCTGCCCAGTGCCGGAATTACAGGCATGTGCCACTATGCTTGGCCTTTGTATATGCATTTTAATTTAAAAGTTGTCAATATTTGAGAATATGCTTTTGATCTATCATCTTAAAGAAAATCATTTAATGATTCAACTCTATAACTACCACTCCTACAGCCAAGTATTTCATTTTTTCTCATTTTGTTGTTGTTCACTCAATCTTTTTCTAAAACGAAAGGTTATTTCAACTGGAAGGCTTCACATAGAGTTTCCAGTTTCCTGATCATGTTAATTCTTTTCTGTCCTTCCACTGCGGTGACAGTCTCTCAGAAAAAGTTTTCCATGTTATTTTATGCCTCCAGATGCAGTTACAAGGCCATCGAATTCCATGGCCGCATAGTCTTAAGAGTCTTTATCTTAGCCTTCTTTTTATTATCATCTTATGTTTAAAATTATTCTGCACAATTCTTCTTAGTCAAGGCGGAGAGAGAAGGTCTTGTTTTCCTCTTAGTTCACTGGTACATGAGCAGTCTGTTGTAATCCTAGGGTCAGGCATTCTGAGCATCTCTCCTGCCTAGCAAAGAGCATCTAGAACTCCAGTAAAATCAACACTGTTGACCCCTGCTCCAGAGAAGGTCCTGCCCTGCCCCAGTTCACAACCCCAGCCTGGTTGAGACTCTTCATGTTATGTGGATGTTGCATTTAGCTGAACCACAATATGGTCAGAACATATGAAACATCATATACCTGGGAAAACTGTGTAGTTATGAATAAGGCCGCACATCTTCTCTAATGCAGCAAATCATTTTGGCCTCTACTGAACAAAGATGTTAGGATGATAACTGGAAATTGAGCGAAAGCAACATTTTCTTATGTCGACCCAAGGGAGTACATTTTCGTATTCAAAGTTTAAAATCCACAATGAGATGTGGTTGCCCACCCGCTCTGCACACGCTTCCAACCCAGGGAAGTGAAAACACAACTTGGTCCTGTTTGATTTGCAAAGGAACAGCTCCATAAATCTACACAGCTGAGGTGTGGCTTGAAAGTAAAGTTTTTCCTAATTTATTTTTAACAATATCAAGGCTTTTATTCAAAAGCCAGGGGACGAAACAGAATTGGCACAGAATAACAGCAGAATTATTATCACTACTTGTAAATGTTATTCCCACTCCCAGTGCCAGAAAGCCTCTCCCCGAAAGTGGCAGCTGGGCTATAAAAGTAGAACAAGGACTTCCCCAGAGCTCTCTGACCATGCCTTCCGGGCCACCCCCAACACTCACTTCCGTGACAAACAAGACAGGAGTGGACCCCGTGCCCAGGTGGGGCTGACCCTCACTCCACACCACCTGCCACTGTGCCCCACAATCAGCCAGCACTCGCAGTGTCCAGAATGTGGCGTACAATCCTACTTTCAAAAAGGGATTGGAATAGGTAGGACAGGAATAAGAAGTAAGAGAAGGGAGAGGAAAGGGAAGAAAAAGAGCGAGTAAATGCATGTTCTGGAAGATCGGGGGCCTACGTCATGACTGACTCCTCTCCGCTCGTTCGCACAGTACAAGGAGCTCTCCCCCGTGGGGTCACCCAAGGCCAAGCAGAGACAAGGGACCCTTCTGCCTGGCCTCTGAACTGCTCTGTTGCTTTTCACCTGGATCTCACCACCGCCATCTCCGGAATTCTTTCACACAGCCTTTGCTGCTGACACCATTCCCTTCAGTTATTTTTAACTAATTCTCTCAACACCTTTTATTTAAATCCCTAAGACACAGATATAAGTTGCAGTACATTTTGGCCGTTGCCCAGTTTCTAGTCTGAAAATTCCTCCAGTCCTCCAGCAAGCTAGAGGAAGGGAAGGCGGGGAGTGGGGGTGAGAAGGAGGTAGGGTGGCAAGCGAGGAGAGGAGGGAAGAAGGGAAAAGCTTTACTCTGAATGACTGAATAGAATATTTCTAAATGTTGGAGAGATAAGCATCAGTCTAACTTGATTTTAGTTCCTCAAGTTGAACTGTTCCTACTATGAGAAATGAAAGCTCTCAAAAGCAAAACTGCTGTTGATTTTTGAGGGCAGTCTTTGCATTCTCCCCTACTCCAGCCATATTTGCATCCACAGAGAGCTATGGCTTCCGTATGATGACTGAAAACCAGACTCAAACTCAGTCTGAAGAGAGGAAGCTCTTGTTCACAATGAAGCGAAGGGAGGAACACGACGATCATGTGCACATGCGATGTGTGGAAAATCGTCCCAAGCACACCGTGAAGAAACTTACTTGCAGGTGAAGGGGAGCCCTTTGTTCCGTGTGCACCGACCAGCACACTGGTCCACGCTGTTCATTTTCTTGGTCTTAATCTTCAGGGATGGGTCTTCTTTGATGAGCGTAGTCTTTGCTGACTTTTTGAATTCATGAAGCGTATTTCTTCTTTTCTTCTGTCCTTCTAGTAAGGCAAAAATTATAAACATGGGAGAAATTCTTTCAAGGATAGTATAGATAAAGAGTTCTTGCATCAACTGCGAGAAAATGATTCTATCTAAGAACATAGTAGACTTCTAGGGATTAGGAGTGCTGAGGGATGGGGAATGGTTATGAGCAAGAGAGAAGAACCACAAACAGGGAAATTCAGGAAACTTGTCACACAGTCATTCATCTGAATTCTTCAGACATTTTTCTCTGTTCTTTCAATGGAAGTATGTCATAAAAAACTAGGATAGGGGTCAGGGATTTAGCTCAGGGGTTCTGCTGCCTGCCTCGCAAGCACAAGAACCTGAGTTTGATCCCTGATACCAAAAAGAAAAAAAGAAAAAGGAAAAACTTTGGCCAGGGATTTAGCTCAGGGGTTCCACCACCTGCCTCTCAAGTGCAAAGTCCCAAGTTCAATCCCCAGTACAAAAAACCAAAGATACACTTTAGAGCTCATCCTAAATAAAGAGATCTAAAGAAATGACTATTAAATACACAATTAGTGAAGAGTTCACTCTAAGAAGACATATTCTCTAAATAACACAAATATCAGAGCCAGGCACACTGTGTCAAGTTCTATAACTAAAATCTCCATTTTCTTCTATGATCGGCCCTTGTGTGTGTTAAGGTGTTGAGCAGAGAAACCAACTCAAAGACAAGTAAGAGACATCTCACCAAAAGCTATGCAGTGGGCAGATTCTTCCTGCTTGCTTTTAAACGTGTTTCATACTAATTCACATTTTAGCCATTCTCTTTTCATGTACTACAAATTGAATGTTCTGTGCTGCTGAACACTATTTCTCAGTATCCACTGAGCTGTTTGTCTTGAGATCCTGCCAAATACTGTAAATCACATGTACGTAAAACTTCATCCCTTAATGCAGCAGTATCATTTTTCTTCATCAAAGTGCAAGCCTCCTAGATAAGAGGAGGCCACCTCCTCCTCCTCCTCCAAACCTGAAGGACAGAACCAAAACTTCCTCAGGGCTTAATCTTATGAATTACTTGTGAGTTCAAGAACTGTTTCTTTACTCTCAATTTTCTGAAAGCCAACCCTATGACAGGATCGGGTCACCCTCTTCACAATGTGGGTCCCAGGGCCCAATCGGTCTCAGCTCTAGGATAAGGAGCGTGGGAGACAACGTGCCCATCTGCTGGGCAGTTGACCCAAGCACCCTTTACCAAAGGCACCAATGACAGACTCATTTACAAGCTGATGAAGCCATGGCTCAGGGAGAAGTTCACAGACCACATACAAACCTCAGGCCCGAAGCCCAGCTGCCCATTTCAGAACTACCATGGGCACCACTCGCCATGTCAGCGTATCTAAGAGTTGCCAAGAATGGAGGTGGAAATATAACTTGTAAGCAGTTTTTAAAGGTTTGGTTCAGAGCTATCAATCAAGAGGAAACTCAGATGGCAGAGCAGCAAATGGGTGATGCAGAAGAAGAAATGCGAGGGCCTTGAAATTTCCAGTTCTCTGGGAAACTCTAAAAATCTAGCATTAATTTCTGTGGCAACACTTTCACTTTCAACTTTTCTTTCCCTATTGGCTGGAATGGCTATTGTACAATGGATGTAGTTTTAACACACAATTTTAAACAACCAAATAATCTCTTAACCTGTTACCGAATGAGCATCTGCCCAATGCCTTGTAGGACCATGGCAGAGGGATGGTGGCCCTGGTGCTCTCCCTGCCTCACCACATGGGGGGTGGTCTTTAATGACCGGAAATGTCAATATTCCAGCTCCTCCTCTATCCCCAAAATGCATGGAACATTAATGACGAATGAAAATGAATTACTTAGACTATCACTGATAAGCACATATTTAGAAATCAATTTGAATGAAAATGCTAAAATATGCAAATTATTTCTTTTCTTTTTGAAATATCATCCTTTGTTTTCTGGCGTGGAAGAAGAAACTGCTCTTTTCTCAACCAAAGAAGGTATCACTCTTCTCAAACTTTTGTTTCTGTCACAGACCCATGTTAATGGGAAGTAATTTTTTTTAAATAACAGTTTCTCTTTCCTATAATCTTATTTCAATAAGTCTTTAGTAATGTAAAATATTTCACAACACAATGATTTCTTTCTTGTACAAATTTCAGCATTTCTTAAAAATGAATAATAGTTAAATAGTGGAGAAAAATATATTTTTAATCCTGTCTACCAAAATAGAGGATATATGTGTGCACAATTACTTGTGAGTATATTTAAATGTGTAGTTACATTCACACATCCATATGTGTAATTGCTTATGAATGTGTATATATATATATATATATATATATATATATTTATGAATGTGTATATATATATATATATATATATATATATACACACATATATATTTCTCAAGTGAGAATTAGCATTACAGAATTAAAACTGGTCTGATTATAATGCATTTATTGTACTTGTTTAAGGTGGAGAGGAGAGAACAAAATTAAATTGAAAAAGACTACAACAAACATTAAATTCCTAAAGTATTTCAGCAATTTATTAAAACAGAGGCCCTGGTGTCTGCTCCAGCCTCTTTTCTCAAACCCATACAAGATGAAGGTAAGCAGTGCAGACCACTGGAGCAGAGGTCTCTGGGTAATTGCTGCATGTTTAATTCTATAGATCCTCACTCGTCCTGCTGAAACGTGCTAATATGTCATTGTAACTCATAAAAATAGGGTATTCTTGCTTGCTGGTAATTTTTCTTTAAGTATAGATCAAAAAGCATTCCAATAAATGAATATGTCCACAATTCCCCTGCACTAAGTAACAAATAGAAATAAAGCATTTATCTGGGGCTACAAAACTAATCAGGGAAATTGGAAGCAGTACCAAGATTCCTTCCTCAGTACTCCTGCCTTGTCATATGAATTTTCCCTTATGAGTCACTCATACTAGGTTAGTAACTAATCATAAAAACTGTAAAGTTCAAATTAGCTACATATCATGTAATACAAGCATCTATAGAATCAATTACTCAACCAAAAAGAGAAAAATTCAAAATAGAAGCCATTCAAAAACAGCGCCTGAAAATAAAATCCCTTTGCTGAAAACAGTTTCTGCTTTCTCTTCCATGTGTATTAACAACTGGTGCTTGTTTTACTGAAAACATTTAAAAGCCAATCCTCTTCTGGGAAGAAAATATCTTTGGGTCAGATTTTTCCCTATTTTTTTCTTTTTTTTCTGTGCGACTGTTAGTTGAAGTTCATAAACAAAATACTGAAATGAAATCAAAGGTTGAGAGATCATGGCAAATTTGTTATGCTTTCCTGTATTTTAAATTATAACTCCTTTCTTTCTTCATCTTCTCCCAGTCTGGGAAAGTATGCGGGAAGCTATATTTCCTAAAGTACCTGAAGTCCCTCTTTCAGAATTGAAATCATTAGGATCCTATGGAAAACCTCCAAACAAAAAGTGGGGTCAAATGTATCAAGGTGCTTGAAGAAAGACACACTTCTCCCCCTGGTTTCTCAGCTTTACACTCATTTCTCTCAGTACCTCATATATTTTCTTCTGTGTGGACGCACTGTTAACTTCAAAGGAAAATCCTGCAAGGAAAGGGTTTTCAGAGTGTGGAAAGAAGCAGGAATCTGGCCCCACATATTCTGAGAAAGCTGCCCACACGATTAGTGATTAACAGTTTGAAGAGCAAGATGTTGAAATGAAAGTATCCAAGTAATTCATGGAAAGGGGTGGTCATGACTGGAGATTTTAAACTTCTCAAAGGCAAGAATCACAAATAGAAGTCTAAATCCCAACTGTTACCTAACTAGGACTTGGATCTCACTGGCAATCATCTCTCCTCCCTTAGAGAAGGTAACCCTATTACAAATAAAGATGTCAAGGATAATGAGATTGTGTCAGACTTAAGTCAGCTGTGAAGTTGGTGAAGCCACACCATTTTCTCTTCCAAGAGTTTGCAAAATAAACAGATGGGTGTGAGGTTGGGGACCTCCCAGATAGCCAACCCCTTTCTTCTTCTTTCGACTTTCTTGTTCAAGGACTCACAGGCAGAGAAACTGCAGCCTGGTCTGTGCCCTCTCTGTCCACTCCTGCCTACAACTGTCCCTCCATGATAAGGTACAGCTGCTGGAGCATTCATGGTTAGGGTGACCTTCAAGACTCTCCCTTTGACCTCATCTTGCTCTCCCAAACACAGGTCACAATCCCCTGGGTACCCAAGCCTTCTGTCTTTTTGTGCTCCTTCACCTGCTGCTGTGAGGGGTCTTTCCAGGGAAGCCCTCGCTCTTCCCACCTCTACTCTGTGGCCACCTGTGTTCTCCCGACTCCCTCAGGTGCCAGCCACACCTTCCCTCAACTGTCCATATCCAATGTGCATCCCAAACACTTCTCCAACCTGATTTGATTCACTCAACTGATAAGGAACTCTCAACCCCAGGACTTTTAACACAGAATTTTTACGATTCTCCAAAGTAAACTTCAGTAGGTTTCACTGCTGCTGGCTGCAATATGAATAAAAGGGAAAGCAGCATATTTCATTCACATGAATTTGGTAGGAAACTCATCTCTTTTCTTTTGCCAACAAAGATAACAAGATACTCAAGGACTTTAATTTTCCCATGTAAGATAACCCAACAGTGCCAATCTTACAAGAACTAAGTAAGTTTTTCTTTAGAATTTGGTTCGTAGAAGTTTCTCAACAAATACACATTCCTTTCTTCCTCCTTCACCTTTACATTTTTCAAAGACTCTTAGGCAAGAGGTTCTCATTTAATGCTTCTTTTGTTACAGAGGATTAGAATCTGTTTTCAGTGGAAGTGAATAGAGCAACTCCTACAAAGATGACTTGGATCAACCTTATTGAATATTTCTCAATAAATTTTTTAATAAATTTATCTCTATAACACATCTTGCTAACACTTGCTTGCAACTTATTAGTGTCCACTTCTTTTCTAACAATGTGCTAGTTTTTTTTTTATTGAACCAACAAAAATACAACCAACGCCAATAACAACAACTACAAAAACTCTCAATACTCAATATTAGATGACATTAAGAAAAGAACAGGATACTCTTTCTATGTTTAAAAAGGCTACTCCTGTTTTGCATTTTGGTAATGTTTTTATCAAAAGCTATCAAAATAATCTTCCACCCAAAGAAAGTTGGACCCTCTTGTAATGACAGTTTTTTCATTACCCCCTTCAGGAATTATTCATACCATAGATCTGTGATTCCCAGGTGGCCCATTCCTGCTTTGTGCCTGTACTCAGGGAACTTGCTCACTTCTACATCAGCCAGAGTGAAATATAATTGCAAATGTGTGTCTCCTGCCAAACATGGGAATGCTGGCCAAAAACAGACACTGCCAACGGTGGATCTACTGTTTGGGTTTTCAGCATTGTGCTCTCCTCCAATTAACACAGATGACTTCAGGTAACTGTGCTCCTCACAACAGCTACCCTCTACATACAAAGGAAAGCCACCAACATATTTGCCACAATTCAGCCCAGAATTCCCTAAGTCAGTAATGCCTTCTGAGAATGTCATTTAGCGTGGCACATCAGAAGCTTGGTAACCTGGTAGATTTGAATTAACTTCTTTTTCACCTCTGAAGAGAAATCTTTCCTTCTTGCTTTTAAGTTGGCCCTTTCCAAACTGTCATTTCCCAAAAGGGGTACTTCCCCAAATAGAAGAAAGCCAGATGAGTTAAATGATATTTCTTATCATTTAGCAAATTCTTGAAGTTTTCAACCTTTGTATTTCATCAGAACCTAGATCAGAGATCTGATAAAACTCGTATTTGACTTATCTCGAAAGACAGCCAGCTCTCTGTTTCACATTGTCAAAAGGCTCTGTCTGCCACCTGAGCATTTGCTTTTCTCTGACCGCCCTGTGTCTACCCGGGATGTCCCCTACCTTCTGTGGGCCACTACGATGATAAGACAATCAAGTACAGATGTTTCCTCCTGTCCTGATAACAACAGCAAACTTCCCAAAGCAGAGGATCAGGATGAGGTCTCTCACCCTGTTCCCCAGCTGTGCGCTCCCAGCAGCTCCTCCCCAACCTGGGAAGCCCAAGAAGAAGCAGGAGCTGGAGAAGCAGTTCCACAGTTTCACTCCAGCAGCAGCGTTTTGCCCCGCAAGCAAGTGCTGCGTTTCCAGAGGACAGGAATCCATGGGCAGAAAGCAGGAGGGCTGGGCAAGAGGGGCTTTCTCTTTCATTTTTATAGCATGCATTTTATAGTCCTTAGTCTCATCTGCCCCCTCCGGATGAAAACCTGTCTAATGCTATAATTTGGCTGGGAATGCCCTGGAGGCTGAGGGGCAGAGGGTTGTCCTGGACAGCTGCCCTCTGGAGAAAGAGGAGTCCGCCCTGGACGGCCATCCCTCTTCCCTCTACAGACCTAGCTTTGGACTTGTCCCAATCCACAGGGCTGCAGCCAGCATCAGCCCCCCACTCCTAGCCCACCATCCTGGACTGTGGTTCGGTGGGATGGGCCGGGCAGGGGCAGAGTGAGGGAGAAGCAGGGATGGTAGAGATCACCTTGACGCTTTTCAAACAGAAGCAGGACATCAAAAGACAGCGTCATGAGAGGTTGTGGAAATCCCACGGAGTGGAGCGGGTGCCCAGAACAAGGCTGGGCAGCCGGGAGGACGAGGACTGGGTCCTGAGCAGCAGCGGAGGAGACTGACCTGCTATGGGGAAGGCGACGGGGAGCAGCAGGAGGTGCAGGAGGATTTGCTGGAGCAGCAGGGCCTGCAGCAGTCTGGTGGCCCCCATGGTGCGGGCCTCTGTAACCACCGCCGGGAGAGGAGTCCGGTCCCAGAGCCGCTGGGCTGGAGCTGCTTTCTGCGACGAGCTAACTTGCTGTGTGATTAACTGGAGGATCTGGTTCTGAACTCCCTCTGACGGCAAGAAACTGTTTTAACAGCGGCGCTGCCCGAGGCCCCGGCCCCCTCCTCCCCTCGCTCCCCACCCCAGCACCC